ATAACCCAAGGTCGAGGGACGAGGTTTTGACAACTAGCTAAAAAGGACATCCCATCCTTTGAGAAAACTTCTGCCAGCTTCAAGAACATAAAAAAAAGGTAAATGTCACGTAGTTTCCAATGAAATACCATGAAATATCGCTTTAACAACAGAAAGGAGTGTTATAAAAACAATGTATCATGCATATCCTTAAGAATTAGTATGATGCATGTTAAGTTTACTGTCACCAAAACCGAAGTAGTCGCTTTTCCAGTATTTATAGTACTACAACAAGAAAATCACATACCTGTGCAGAACCAAGATCAAATATGTTTCCGGCAAATATTCCTCTAACCAGATTCTCTACCCGCTTGACTTCATCTTCAATAGCATCATTAAGATCCACTACATTCTCAAACAGGGATATGGCCTTGGCATTCTCTTCATCCTGAAGCGTTTAATCGCCATCGCAATTCCAAATTCCAAATTCCAAATTCCAAGTCAATCAAATATCTACACAAATCGAAATAAAGCGTCCAATAACAGTTAAAAGCACCCACCTTGACTTTCTTGAATATGTCTTGGAATCCCAACTCCCTAAGAACTTGCTCACGAAGTCTGCAAAGAAGCTAGATTTCCCAAACAAAGCACAAAAAGTTCAATGCTAAGAATACGATGACATTATCCCATCACTACTACAACACAACAGAAAGTGAAAAATAAAATCAAAACTTGGAGCTTACAATGCAATCCGGCGGGCCGCCGTGACTTTCAGGATCCTTCTTCAAGTCCTCAAGTATTTCAGTGTACCTTGCAGGCAAAAACACAAACAGATTGCAGGCGCTTCCAAAAACCCAATTCACTCCATCGCAAAACAATCAGTAAAGTGTGTACCTTTGAGCAAATTTCTCAGCTCTGGCCGGAGCATCGGGGACCGAACCGTCAGATTCAGCTCGTTTCCTGCCAAAAGCCAATCAAACCCATTAACGAAAAACCAAATAAATTAGGGTTTATGATGGAGGTTGGGGAGAGGATGAGGATGATTACTTGAAGGAGGGGGTGGAGTTGTAGAAGAGGTCGATCCAGGAGAGCTCAGTCGGCGTGGGCTTGCGGGGGTTGTCGGAGGGGAATCTGTAGGGCATGGTGCAGGCTCTGTAGTTGGATTCGATCGGCGTCATCAGCAGTGGAAATGGTACCATTTCTGATGCGCTCTCCATCTTCTTCTTCTTCTCTCCGAATTTCAACTTCTCGTGATGATTAAGAGGGCCCCTATTTATGCAACTGGGCAAGCGGACAAAAAGCCACAATTCGTGTGTGGGTGGGGATACGAAGCCAAAGGAAAATAACACACGAGGATATTATAAGGAATCTTCTCTTCTTTCTCTTTATTTTTTTTTACGTAAATTGTAACAATGGTCTTTTAAGTTTAATTTAATTAAAGTAATAGTTTATTAACTAAAAATTTACGACCATTTGTTCCTTAATTTATCAAAACTTGCAGCTATGATTCTTTTAGTCAATTCCGTCAAAATTCTGTCAAAATGAGTCATGTTGAAAGGATTATTGCTCCAATTGGTTTAAAGTTGATGGACTATTGCTCCAATTGAGTTAAAATTGAGAGACTATTTTTCTAATTTGGTTAAAGTTGAGGAAATATTTTTCCAATTGGGTTAAAGTTGAGAGACCATGCAATTTTTCTCATTTGGTTATCCATATTTGCCCCTTGATTCAACCACACATGCATGACACGTGACTCATTTTGACAAAAATTCTAACGGAGTTGACAAAAATGATCATAACTGTGCATTTTGATAAGTTAAGGGACCAATAATCACAATCTTTTACTTGATAAACTATTACTGCAATTTCTTTAAACTTTTCTTTTAAAATATGATTTTCGCTATCATTTTTCTTTTACCACACACCTTTATTTATTTTTATACGTTTTTATTTTTGATCTATCACGTTCAAATGTTAAAAATAATTGAATACGTATGGAAAGAAAAAGGTACGTAAATAATTTATCTGTTTATTTGTCACTTTACATAATTATTTGTTCATTCAAACTAGCCAAATCAAATTAATTCGAGCCATCTTGTTCGATTTTTACATTGATAAAGTATAATTCCGAATGAAATCGGACACAAGTTGCAACTAGTACGGCATGATTTGATTTGACTTATTTGAACTCTGTTTGAATCCAACTAAATCATCTATATCTATTTTTTGTAGTGCATGTTTTAAGAAAATAAAAATAACAACATTAAGAAAGAAAAAAATTACAAATAATATTTAATGATCATATGTGACTTTTTTAGACGGAAAATAGAAGTAAAAGTGGTAAATACAACATTAGGTGTCAAATCGACAATGGAGTGAAAATCAAGCAAAAAATGGGCAAAATACTCGTTTGTTGTTGTCATATTTTTTTGTATAACTTGCTGGTTCTTGTGCCATTGGTAAAACAAAAGTTTTTTTTTTAATAGGATTTTGCTCTACTAAATGATCCCAAATTTGTTAATATTGCCTACTTGAAGGATTAGCTTCAAGTAAATATGGTTTCGTCCATAAAGTGGAATATGATTATGCACTTGCATTTGCAGTACAATTGGTTTTAAATGCATAACTGGACAATCATTCTTTGAGAAGTTTAATATTGAATTGTCGTGCTCTTATGCACTAAAGTTGGTATTGAGAAATTCAATATATTTTACCGTGAAAAGAATTTTGTTATTAATGAATTGACTCGTTTGAATTTGTCATGCAGTTTATGTTTAGTCTTCTTTTAGCAACTTCCTCCTTCTTGTCATCAATTGCTAATTGCAGATAGCTTAAGTCTCGTAGCATCGTGATATTCTTATGTAATATTTCTTCTTCTTTCAGGCTTATGGCTCATCGTCAACAAAAATAAAATGTAATGTTACCTAACTTAATCTGAGCTCACATAATTAAATATGCAATTTGAAGCCTAAGTTTGAACCAAAATGAAACGTACAAATGAACTAATACAAGTCACGCGTTTAATCATGTTGATTTCCTCATGTGAACAACGCAATTAGTGATGTTAAGACATCTGTAATTCACGATTAATATTGTATTTGATTATCTAAGATTTTGTAGATTTTGCTGGTATGCCGTTGACGTGATCACCGATTCCCAGACGTTTTGGAATTTCATAAGAACGTCGATACTTGATGATATAAAATGTTTGTTTTTTCAACTTGCCAGTCTGTTTCCAATTGAAAAGCTTTCTGTTTCTACTTTCTTATGCACTTTATTCTTTTATGGCAATATTGGAATTTTATTCGGACAAGGATCCTCCCTGGATCCTATCCGTGAAGATCCGGACATCAATTAATTGTGTTCGTTTATCATACACAAGATCTAAAATATCAATATTATCCTGATATTTCCATCGAAATTTCTGTATTTTTGAACTACCGATATTTTAGACATTGATATGAACTTTATGTGGTACTAAGGGGTGGTTTGGAAATGAGGTGCTTAAAAAAAAAAAACACCCATGAAAAAAAACTGTGGGGGTTTTAGGTGTTTGGTAAACTGAAAAAAATGGCTTATTTTGGAAGCTGCTGTGAGAATAAGCTGAAATCAAAAGAAAAAGCTGAAGCTGCTATTTGCAGCTTTGGAAAACTGGCTTTTTTTCAAAGCACACGGAGTTACAGTGCTCATTTAATGAAAAGACACACTATCAGACTGTTTTTTTTTCCAAAAGCACTTTTACAAAAAAGTTTACCAAACACTCTGCTGATTTATTTCACAGCCGCTTATTCTCACAGCACAACCGCTTATTTTCACAGCAGCTTTTTTTCAAAGCACAACAATACCAAACCAGCCCTAAGTCACTCATGTATCTTACCATGCAATGTATGAAGTGTAAAATATTGTACTAATTCATTATATATAAATGATTATGGTGTGTTTAAACTTCTTTCATTAATTACTATATATTTTTTACACTCACAATGTTTGCCAGCTCGCTATATAATCAACTTAAATAAGTTAAATCCATCATGCAATGCATTTTCTTCCAATTTTTTTGTGATAAACTAATAGATAATTGACTAAATAAACATCCTACAAAGTTTCAATAAAAATTTCCAAGTTTTTCTTACAATTTCCGTGGTTTTTATTTATTTTTTATGGATATTGATAATATCCCGATATTTCCATCGAAATTTCCGTGTTTTTGGACAACCGATATTTCCGATATCATCTATATTTTATACCTTGATCGTACATTGCACGGCCAATTTTCGTTATGTACTATTTATATTTAATTTTAAATTAAAAATTAAAAATTAAAAATAATTTCTAACAGCCCGATGTACAATGAACGAACATGATTGATTGATCCTCCAGATCCCACAAAGAGGATCGGGAGAAGATCCTATTCCATTTTATTCAACCAATTCATTGAATTCAAGGAAGGCAATGGACCAGGATCCTCTCCTAAACTAAGGATGAGGATCCTCCTCATCAATGAGTGTGGACTGTTGGATGAAAATCCAACGGCTACAAACAGATGATCCTTTTAAAATTATAATAATTGTAACCATTAGATTTTCATCCAACGGCCCACATCACTTGATGAGGAGGATCGTCATCCTTAGCTCAGGAAAGGATCATGGTCCGAAGGCAATTACATCATCTCATCAAGAATTGCTTCCAAAATTCGTGGATGCTTTCATAACCTCATGCACCTTGAGTGCACCCAAACATTTCCTTTTATCCACAAGTATACTCAACCGAACAAAGTTAGCTTCAAGATGATGTCGTTAGGTTACTTGACCGGAACAATTGCACTACTCAAGTCCCTGCGTTTAAACGTTCACCAAACGCGAGACAGGACATAACATCGCATACGCAACACAAGTCTTGTCTCGTGCTTCATGTTCTCATTCTGTCATTCATTATCCACGAACGAACTTTTAAACAGAATTATAAATTCTCTTCTCCAAACCGAGACATTTACTAAACATAAACAAAATCACCACGAACGATGAGACCAAAATAGATCCAAACGATGTTTACTAACAAAAACTTGAGCGACACAATTTGTCTTAAACTATCTTAATCCGAAACAATGTAGGTTGCAACATGTTACAATAAATTACAGAAGAAGTAATTAAACAATCATGCAGCTCAGAACTTTCCAAGTTTACTAAATCATCAGATATGGAGATAGTTTTGAGGTTAAGAAGCAATCATATCAACACTAGCTTGTTTTCAAGAACTGGAACCCTGCTTACTTGGTTAAATCGCAGCAAACGACAAGTCTTGGGGAGTTCATTGCAATGAGATGCCAGGATATACAGAATTGGAGCATTCGTACAAAGAATGAAGTTTGCAAAATGAAGCAAGTAGAAGATCAGATCTAATCGAGGCAATACCGAGCTTCTTCTTCTTCTTTTTTCTGCACCCTTCAAATGCCTCATTTCTTTGCCTTTGCAAACCTGAGACACCGATACTTTTCACCACTGACAGTGATTTCAAGTGCTCCATCTTGGTTATCTTGATTCGACGCGGTTCCCATAAGAACGCTCTTCTCTTTCTCAAGGTTTTCTTTCTCTATTTTCAGCCGTGCTTCTTGTCTGGCAATCTCTGCCTGAAACCGAACAACGTTCATGAGCCTAAAACACAAAGCACTGGTAAATCACCTCCATTGAGACTTAAAAGTAAATGTTTGACAGATTAGCAACTACAAAGCACACAATTTGGCATAAACTAGTGATTAAATAGCTCTTCTTAGCTACTCACAGATAGGCTTATGGTCATATGAAAACTGCATAATAAATCAGATATTAACAAGACAAATTGCTGCCCTGCTGCCCCCTGCATTTCTGCTGCTAAAAGGGGAAAAATTGAACATTGCATCCAATTGGGCTCTCAAATCAAACCAAAAATATGGGAAATTGATAATATAAACAGAAAAAAGAAACCCATGATGTCAAAATTGAATTCAAACCAGAAAATGGGATTGCACTCGAGGTGTTCGACAAAAAGACTGAATGAAAAAATTGGATTGAAGAGAACAAGAATATACTAGGAATAAGAACCTCGCGGCGAGAGAGCTCGGCCTTCCAAGCAGCTTCGCGCTCGGCGACCTCGCGTTCCCGCTCTTCGATGTAGCTCTGCATCTCCCGCTCCTTCATGATTCTGTCTTGGATATCGGCATCCAGAGCTTCCTTGAGCTCCTGGACGAACTTGTCCACCACCACTTTGATTCTCAGAGACATCTCCGATCTCGAATACGCACGAATCCCTGATTTCTAAAACCCTAACACGCTCACTGAATCATCGACGCGGTCTCTTCCTCGGTTTAGGGACGGAGGACGACTGTCCGGCTGGGCGGCGATTGCCGAGGAAGGAGACAAACAAGGATTTGGAATTTCTTTGGCTATGCTGCCATGTCTCGCTTTTGGTTGTGAGTTACTGAGTTACGAAGCACTCTCCAAGTCTCCTTCTCTTCGCAACTTAAACGGTGCGTTTTTTCGCAAGACAAAAAAAAAAAAAAAAAAAAAAAAAAAAAGCTGTTATTGGCATTTTAAAATTTTCATTTTGCACTCGAAACTTTATATAATTAGAAAGAAAAATACGCTTGTGAGAAGTGTATAATGAAAATCTTGAAGTGCTAATAAAATTTCTAAAAAAATCTAAATAAATAAATATTAAACCTGTTTACTTATCCTGGACATGTTTGAATGCTTGTCCAGGACTATTGGATAGTTCAAGAAATGAATGGTAAAGGTTGATTTTAAGAATTTTTTTTCTTCCAATTTTTACCGTTTATTTTTTGGACTGCTCAATAGGAAGAAGTCAAGACGGTATCCTTTTATAGCATGTTTACTTATGCGAGGAGAACTTATAATTCTTGAATTTTTAGGCATTAATATGGGTTGTAATATGAATGTCGCATGCATGTATTTATTGCTATACACAAGAAAAGTCATAAATTAGAGTTAAATGCTCATTTCAACATATTCCAAGTAAATAAGCATGTCGTAACTTTTGAGTTTGTTCTCAAGTGCTATTGTGTGAGTTTTTTGTCCGTAGCATTTTATTATAAACATGTAGAAAGCTATGCTGACTCTAGCGCTTTTATCAAGGTCACATAGAATGATAGAGCTTCTCTGACAATAGAATGATAGAGCTTTAGACAATTTGAGATGGAATGCCAAAAGTTTGTATTTTTCAATAACATGTACGTTAAACGGCTTACTCGAATGCCAAGCTCAAACACACGTTGAATTGAAGTGGAAGCGTGAAAATACCCTTCAACAGACAAAATAACATATACTGGTGGGGCCCGCATGTGCCACATCATGACCTAACAAGGTCGTTGACGGTCAAACCAACGACAACACCTGAATGAGCAAATTTTGTAAAGTGGTCGTACTAAATTGGTGAAATTAAAAGTACGGATAAACGCATGTTCAAAGGATAATACATCTATACATCGTCACATCCAGTATCAAGGCATTTCTCATCTCTCATTGTATATTACAACAACGCAAAAACACTAGGCATCCTCTCTTGAGAAAAGGAATGATACAAACGTGTTGTGGTATTACAGCTCGTCTCTAGGAACCGCGCTTATCCCACCATCAACGTAAGACGCATAGGCCTTGATAACAGATTCGTAAATATCAATTCCTTTCAAGTATTCGTCTTTGTTTAGAAACTACGATAAGGTGAAAAATTGTGAGGGTCAGATTGCGTAGTTGCAGAATAGCTTATAAATAAAAACCACAGAAAGATGAGATTCATAAACACTTAAGGATGCATATGTAACAGAAACATATCAGCCTGTCCATTTACCTCATTATGGTCATGAAGAAGAATAGGAGTGTTAGCCATCGGAGAGAATCCAATCGCTGGCAAGCCCAGATTCCGGAAATAGCGAGCATCTGTTGAAGCAGGAAAAATCTCTGGCTTACCAAGTTTCCCATTAGCTTTTTTGACAGCATCTTCAAGAAGAGCCCACCAGGGGTTTGAACTATCAGTTGCTGTAAGGATTGGCCTCCCCGCCTTATCAAGCACAGAAACCTTATGCTTGAACTGCCCACGCTAGGAAGATGAGTAGAGAAACTGGCATGTATTTAAGCAATTCATATTTCGCTAAAATACATGTGTGCATGAAAATACGCGCACAAGCTTTCAAAATTTAATACATTAGGACTTGCGTAGAGATCATAGTAGTCCATAGTAGGTAAAGGCAGAAGCTTGAACATCTTAAGAGCTTGAAGACAAGCTTGGCAGGACAACATATCATAAGCAGTTCAAAATTCAACTAGGTAAACCGTAAAGACCACTGACGATTTTTCCTGGCAATGCAAGGAATGATAACACTGGTAGGTTTTGTAGCTTTGTACCACATACGTGCTTGGAAAGGAGGAAAGCTACGTCAATTATTTGATCAACCAAGGAGGCTATGAATCACTTATTAGTGAACTGTAACCATTGTATACACTACATCTGTGTCTCAGTACTGCCTATCTATTATCGTATTTAATCGTTAATAGAGGTAGTACTTGTTTGATGTGTTTATCATACTGATTTATCACATATTACTTGGTGTTCTTCAGTATTCAATAACTGTGTATTTCATAAGATAAGATCAACGTGCTAATTACCCTGAATGTCATGTTTCGTGAAGCAGGGGCCCATTCTTCAGCTATCCGTTTCTCCAAAGACTCCTGATCAGCAGTTGGTGGGACCCTAATATCAAGGCCTGCTTCTGCTTCAGATGGCTGCAAATTCATGACAAAACCCTGGACGAGAAAGGGGGAAAGCAATTATCATCAGAAATTTATTATTATTATGACTGGATGACAAAGGAAAAGAATAGTCCCAACATGATCCCAAGTTATAACGTAGAAGATAATTTCCACTGCCAACTTTTGGAAATGTATGTCAGTGCTTGCCAAATCAAGCTTAACACTTTACATCCTAAATCTTTAAGGTCAAGCGAGACATGTGCTCATTTCATCACACGCTTATGTCTTAAGTGGTAACTTAACACCTCCTACTACTAAAATGTGTCCCGAATGGAACGTCTACAACCATTTATGTTCCGTTCATGTGCATGGTGAATCCACACTGCAGTATTACAATCGTAACAAAAATTCCTTTGGTCCCTCCAAATTCTAAGAATCCAATCTTTAAATGAATATTCACTACTCATGTCTAAGATCAAGTTCCCAAACTTAATTTGATTTGTAGTAACCAAACATTAAGGGTGTTGTGCTCAACTAACCCAAGTAGCACAGAGCGTGCTCAATACGACTTCAAAAGCAAAAGAGATTGCAACACCTTTACCCACCCGATTTAATTCCATCAAGAACTCAACCGCTTTAATGCCCCACTTGGTTACAAGCCCATGCTACTAGACTCTGCAAACTTAATTTGATTCATTGTAAAAAAAAAAAAAAAAAAAAATCAATAAATAAACTCGATTGCACTTAGTAAGAGCTCCATGTAATTCAACATCAAATAATGAAGAAGCAAGCACAGAGTGCATCAACATACTGTTGGAGTCGGAGTGCCAGCTTTCAAAAACACCATATTAACAGAGACGACCTCGCCTTCAGCCTTCAAACCTGCCTTCACCAAATCAAACTGTGAAGCCCGGAACCGCCTCACACTCTCAATGCTTTTCAAGAGATTCTCCATGGCAGTGTTGTCATAGAGCTTAGCCCCATGACCAGGAGCCCCAGTAGCCTTGATCACCAGCCACATGGGACACCTCTCTGCATAGAACGCCCTGTAATTCTCAGTCGGCGAGGCCAACCCTGTTTTTTTTTTTTCCAAGAACAGGCATTTACCAAATAGAAAAATCATTAGAAAACAGCAAACCAACACAAATACTTGAAAATCACTAGTACGCCCAATTAACCAAATAAAAAACCAGTAACAAATACTTAAAAATCACAGGTAAAATCAGTTGCCCAAATGACACAAACACTAGCAATTAGCAACTCAATAACAGATACTGAACAGCACTAGCATGCCCAATTACCCAACCTATACAATCACTAGAAAATAGCAATCCAGTAACAAAGACTTAAAAAGCAATTGTATTTTCCATTACCCATATGATAAAATAACTAGCAAATAGCAATCCAGTAACGAAGACTTAAAAAGCAATTGTATTTTCAATTACCCATATGATAAAATCACTAGCAAATAGCACTCCAGTTACAAAACCTTTGAAAGAACTAATATTTTCAATTACCCAGATAACAAAACCACTAGCAAATAGCAACCCAATGACAAAAACCTAAAAAGCACTAGTGTGTTCAATTACCCAGATGATAAAATCCCTTGTAAATACTAAATAGCAATCTAACAACAATAAGTAGAAAAATACCATTACCCAGACGTTAAAATCTCTAGAAAATAGCAATCCAATAACAAAAACCTTAAAAAGCACTAGTATTTTCAATTACCCGGATGATAATATCACTAGCAAATAGCAAGCAAACGACAAATATTTAACAAGAACTAGTAACAGTGAGCAGAGCAGAATCATACGGTCTGATTAGCGCACCTTCATCAAGCACAATTCCTACGTTCAATCCCTTGAAAACATCAGATTCAGCCAGCTTCTCAGCGCCGTCGTGGCCCCCAATCTCCTCATCAGGCACAAACGACAAGTAAACAGACCTTTTGGGCTTAAACCCAGAAGCCTTGAGCCGCCGAATGGCCTCCAGGTACTGAATCCCAACGCACTTCATGTCCTGGGATCCCCTGGCGTAAACGTTGCCGTTCGGATCCAAGTTGGCCGAGAAAGGTGGGTGGGCCCACTTGTCGTGCTCGGCCGGGACGACGTCGGTGTGGGAGTTGAGGAGAACGGAGGGGAGAGAAGGGTCGGAGCCTGGCCATTTGAGGAGGACGAGCGGTTTGCCGGGGACGAACTCGAGAGTCTGGGACTGGAGGGAGAGGGACTCGGCCTCGGAGAGAATGAAATCGGCTGCTTCGCGGTACCGGGGATTCGGGTGGGCTGTGTTGATTTGGAGGTATCGTTGAAACCGTGAGATTATCGGGTCGTCGGATTGTATGGCCGTTGATTTTGATGAGAGCAGTAGCAGAGAGATTATGCAGAGACGAAGACGAAGCTCCATTTTTTTTTCTTTTGTTTTTGTTCGAGTGATTGTTTCAGTGACTCGGAGTGGATGATGAGTGAGAGAGATTAGAATTTGTGGATTAAACAATTTGGGGAGGAATCGAACGTTTTGCGGAAAGATTCGGTTTTTGGTTGACAATTTTGTTTAATTGATGTTACGTGGGAAACTACTCGCTTCGCGGCCGCCAAACTGCATGAAGGTGTAGGTGGAATTAGCACTACTTTATATTCCTCGTTAGTTGTAATTAAAGGACAAAGATCCTCGCCGGACCAGTTTTCTGCGGATCCTGCGCATCAATTAATCGTGGCCGTTGAAATTAT